CGCATTTAGTAAAAAAAATAAAATAATAAAATAAAAAAAAAAACTCAAAACTGAAAAATAATTTTAATCGAATAAATGGTTTTTATGCCATGCTTTAAGCTATCATGAAAAATTACCAAATTTTACCACGTTTACCATAATTTATGTATATATTATCACACATATTACATATTTTATTGTTAATTTTTCCAAAATCTCTGCGAAACATTTCGGTAAAAGTTTGGTAAAATTACTCGTCAAACAGGTCTTTACAAGGTCAAATAACTATCGGGGTTTATCAATAATTTTTTTTTATAATCTAGAATGATTTGTGCTAAGTAAGAAAAAAGTATCGCCAATCGAAACATTTTTGCAACAAGGAAAATCAGAAATTTCCTTGTGCTACCCATAACGAAAATTTCTCCGCCGAGTAACTAATGCAAAGGAAAAGCAATTTCTACAGGGTGCAAAAAAAAATGTGCCACGTAAGCGGTCTAACAGGTTTTACAAGTTAAGAAATCGTTTTTTTTCAATCTCCTAAATATAAAAAAAATTTGAGAACTAAATGAAAGAATAATTTATGTAAGCGCTGATACATAAACAATTTTTTCCAACTATTTTAAGCCATTAAACATGATAATGAGGAAAAAAAATCTAAATAATCTTTATCTGAGTTAACGTAAGAAATATCATGCGAATAAATTATGTCTAAAATATAAAATGAGTAAAAACTATGAACAACGTAAAAATTGTGTATAAATTTGAGTGAATCTTATTTAAAACTACTCACCTCCCTAAAAATTAAGAAAATTATTTTTAAAATTGTTTGTCATAAATTCATATATAAGTGTTTTATATTTTAAATTTTATAAAGTAAAAATATTTTAATTCCCTGTTTTCGAGTATTAAGAACGAATTTAGTTGAAATCCGCTAGAAACCAATATCCGCGTTAATTAATACAGTGAAACCTCTCATGAGCGAACATGCTCTGTTCCACAGTTAAATGGTTGTTAAAGGAGGTTGTTTGGTCTTAGCGGTTCGTTCTCCCTTGATTTCAAAATGTTATCGAAAATACATGATTTTTCGTAAACGATTTTAATTTTAATCAGTGTCGTTTCCTTTCGTGCGGAAATGCCACTTGTGGTGGTATCATGAAAATATTGATGAAAAAAATTTAGCGTCAATAAAAAGGATCCCTACTGATATCCTTATGAGCAAAAACAAATTTACCAATTATGAACTATTTTAAATAAATAAACAACTATGCTTTTTGCTTAATTTTATATCATAAAAATTAGTTAGCTTTAAAAAATGAGAAGAGGTTTGTTCCAGATGCTTAATTTTTTCTAAAATAACTTTTCTTTCTAAATTAACTTTCAATTCTAGAAATAAATCAATGATTTCATTGTCTTTAGTGCACTCTGAGGTCTGCAACATGAGATCATTCAGAAATCGCCAAAAAAAGTTCTCTAAATAAGAACCTCACACAAATATTTTGAATGAATTTAATCCAATTATTTGTTTTGTTAATATTTTTGTTTTGATATTTTTTTTTGCGTTTCCTTATTTGACCTTTTCCGGATTAGGTGCAGAGAGAGGTTTTCCCGGTCGCTTAAAGGGGTTTCGGTGGTCTCTCTTAAAGGATTTTTCAACACGAAGTCTATGGAAAAAATTCTGTGCTACCCAAAAGTGGTTGTGAATAGATGTGGTCTTTCCTGTAGGTTTCATTTTTTATTTTTCAAACATGTCACAAATTTGAAAACTGAAAGAACTAAGATGAGAAGAAAAAAAAATTTGTGTGTTAAAAATAATTCAAACAATCTTATACTAATAAAATGAAGAGTTTGCCTGTGTGTATCATTTTCATCATTTTACAACTGCACTTGTATCATTTTCATAACTGCGAAACCATTTATGCAAACATCCTGAAATTTGGACAGTGGATGAAAGGGGATATTTTAGCCTCCGATTATTTAAGAATCGTTAGAGAATATCATTTAGATCGTTCGGCAGAGATACTTAAAAATAGAATTTTTCTCATAGGTTTAGAAATCACCATTGATAAAAATTACACTGCAAACAAATTTTTTTTAAATATAACAATGGTGGTGTTTGACAACTTATAGCTTTCAGAAGAGTTTGTAATATTAATTGAAAAATGGTATTAATTCGTTTTGGAGAAAAAAAAATCTCCATTTTACTTTTGATGCCAATGCTGCTTAATTAATTTTATTAATTGCTACTAAATGAAACAAAACTATTGTACTAAAAGCAAATTTCATACAGAAATAGTACGAATTCATCTGAGAGAAGCATAAAAAATTGCCAAACTATTATAAATGCCAATGATCCTTAATTAATTATGGTATTAGATACCAATGGAAACAAAAAATAAGTTACGTATGAAAAAACAAAAGATATAGAAAAATTGTGCTAATTCGTTTATTAAAAGAATAAGAAATAGCCATAGCATTTCTGACACCAATAATGTTTGATTAAATTTGTTAATAGGAACTAAATGAAATTAAAAAGTAATAAGCGCAAGATTTGTACTGTAAAGCGAAATTAATGAAGCAATAGTATTAGTTCATTAAGAGATGTAAACATTTTTAAAGCCAATGATGCTTAGTTAATTTTCGTAAAAGCACTAATTGAAATTTTAAAAAAAAACTCTGTTGTACTAAAAATCACATTTAAAGAGAAATGGTACTCATTTGTTTCGATGAAATATAAGAATTCGTCATACTTTTTTTGTCCTAATGATACTAAAATATAAAATTAAGCAATGAAATAAATTGCGATTATTAGAAAAAACGTCAGAGGGTGAAAAAAATATTGTAAATTTTATAAAGTTAATACTAATTATCTCTAAATTTTACCAAGTATCAAAGTTTTACAAAGTATTTGTTTATTAATCAGACAGTTTTTTCAAAGAAATGTAAACTTTCAATATAATGTAAATTTACGAATATTTTCACTTCCTGCCTCCGAGTATGATCTCCGAGTTTGAAACAGCGAGTTGAGTTGTTCAGTCACAATATCCTCCAGAAACTACATTGGAATTTTTTTTTTCAGTTTCGGACATTAATCTAGACATTTATTTCACCTCCAGTGGTGCAAGGGACATTGATTAAAATTATGTTCACCGAAGCGTCACTAATTCTTCTTATTTATTTTTCACATAACTCATTTTTATCTGTCTTGTTTTATCGCAAGAAAAAATTATTCGTCTTATAAAAGACCCTAAAGCATAAATTGCAATGAATCTCATCTGAATTCAGGAACTGTCAAGGTGCTATACATGATCTTTTTGAAACTTTACAGAGTTGTTTCTGGGTGGCAAAATGTTTACCAACTCGTGAATAAACTTTACCGAAGGGTTACTCGATGTGGCGAACACATGTATTATCAACATATATTATCAGCATTGTGTCTGATGTTGCCACTTCGAATTTCAAAGATCAGTTTGAGATTTTAGGCCGGTATTACCCTTCAGATTTCAGCTGGTGCGAGAACATATTAGTTCATTTTCTAATCCTTTTCAAGGGCTTACATAATTAGTTTATAAAGTTAATTCTTAAATTTAATTTTTATCTTATTAAATTAAATCGTAATTTGCTTTTTATGTCCCAATTTCAAGCACTATCAACATTTTTTATATAATTTCATTTAAATTCTCAATAATTTAAACATATGTAACACATTTCACTATGTAGATTCTTGATTAATATATTTTCTAATATTTCTAAATCTAATAATGCAAACTCAAAATAGATATCATACATAGATCAAATATTTATATACATATTGGTTTAAGTAGCGAGATATAATAAATATATGATCTATATTTATATATCATACGTAATAATGTAATAGATATCATACACTTTAGATGCATGAGGTTTGCAGAATACTCTGTACGTTTTTGATATGTTTGACCAATTTTGATTATTATATTTTATCATATTTTTATTCTTAACCGAAAAGAAATAAAAACCGATATCATGCATAGATCATATATATTCGGCATATAACATATATTATGCATATATCAAGCATTTAGATGTATATTTAATACTGCGGTATTGTAGAATCAAGTTTATACTCTATTTTGCTCGGATTTAGGGATTTTTAGGGTTAAATCTTTACTATATGATTTGCTATAACGAATAATATAATTTGATAGTAGTAAATAAGTTGAAAACTAATTAATGAGCACTTTTGTTGTTAAACTTTAAACTTAAAATTTTTGACCAAATTCAGATACAATTCTTGCACTTAAATCAAGGGGGTATGCAGGAATTGGGCTGATGCGACTGTAGATTTTCAATCACTAAAAAATGGCTATTAAAAACAATTGCAAAGAAATTGTTTATTTATTCATGTTTCTTACAAAAGTTGAGTCATCTCTTTTAGAAAAACTGAACCAACTCTATAAAAAGAGTTGAATTACTGTGAATAAACATCTAAAATGCATGAGTTGAATCAATGAAAAATAAATCTTATAAGATACTAATTGAACTAAAGGTGAAAAACCTTTAAATTCTAGGAACAAAGTAAACATGTAATTCTTTTGAAATATAAAATCAGAAACAATGTAAATATTTTTTATTTTAAAACAATTGGACCGATGTAAAAGAAAACCTTCATTATAGGAGAACACTAAACCTTTGTAAAAACATTGATTGATTTAAGACTTCTAAAAAATAGAGAAAAAAAACTTGATAATCTGAAACCGTTTAAGAAACAAAATCCTAGCAGAAGAACTGAAAAAATGTTTAAAAACAAGCTTTATATATAACATAAATACTGAATCGAAGTTCAAAAACTTTCAGAACGTAAGAACGGAATAGAACAAAGTTTGTTTTTAAAGTTTGAAAACTGGAAAGTTTAGAGGCTAAAATTGGAAAGTATCTTTTTTATCCTTGGCTTCTGTGATACTGCTTACAGTGTTAAACTGGAAGGGCCGGAAAAATGAAAAATCCCGCTCGGTGGCGCTTCGGTACCTTTGCTTTCACTTCAGTTCACTACACTTGACTCTGCAAGCAGACGATGAAACTTTTCTTCCACTTTGACAGAATAGAAATGGACTTCAATGCGAGTGGTTGTAACTCTGCAATTGAGCGGAGTTGAGAAGTCAGTGTCCCGCCGCTAACGAACTTCCGTTCCCTGCACGCGGCGGACTTTAATTAATGAACTTTTTTCTCTTACTTCTTCACATATTACTCAATTAATTTATCCATAGAACTTCACTGTAACCTTGTGGAACATTATAAGAAAGTTTCATAACTGCAGACGATTTTTCTTTATTTGTTTACAGTGTGAAAACAGATAATGTGGGTGTTAGTCTGACCTGGATTTTCCAATTTTTTGTTCTAAAAGGATAAAACATACTTCCAGCTTTTATCGCCTTTCAAGACGCAAGTAGTGCGGGACCAAGCGTTTGTCTAAATGACAGAAACGGCGGGATAACAATCTATTTCATCAAGAGTTTTTTAATTGTTTTGTGAATCCTAGAGATGAGGTTGCAATCATTTTGATATGATTAATTTTGTGAAAGTGGAACAAGTTATGCACCGTGAATATCTCTTACATCTTATGAAAATGGAATTTTTTGGTAAGTTAAAGCTTTTAATATTTGTTATCTTTTTAAACTAATTTTTTAACAGGAATAAAAAAGGTTTATATTTACATAAACAGTGATAACATTTGTTTTACATTATATTTAAACTTAATATTACATCTTTTATATTATAAGACCATCCTTTTTGAACGATGATTAATATTTAGAAAATTAATGTCTTCAAAATCTAAACAGATGCTTATAAATATTATTAACATCTGTTATTACCAATAATTTTTACTTATTAATTTATAGAAAAGCACGTTAGTTTTAGGAAAGCAAATCACGTTTTAAAACTACTACTTCAATTTATTTAAATTTACTTTTTCGAATACAAATTCGTTTAATAATTTCTTCCGAATGCAAAATTTTTTCAACTTTTTCTTAATACAAATCTTAGAAAGATGTAGTTTCATGTGGTATCACGTTTGTTAACGCGTTTATCATGTAGTTATTTCAAGTAGAATTCTGCTATGTTTATGTTTACTGTCACCTAAGTATTTTGAATGCAAAATAGTCTGTTTTCTTAGTTATTTTGACAATTAGAATCATTTTATGTTGTTATTTAATCTGTTTTTGACTCTTATTGCTTACTGTACTGTTTCAAAAAGTGCTTCGACTTTGTCATTTTATTTTTATCGCAAATTTTAACTCCTATAAACCTTATAATTTGAACGGATTTTAAATGATTTTTTTATTTAAAAGAGAACGTATCAGAATAAAATGACAGTTTTTTACGATAATAATTCTTAAAAATGTTAATTTAAAATCGCATTTTTCTAAATCATAGATAATAGTATTGCAATGAAATAATATACTAATAATTTCCCGAAGCAAAATTAAGCGAAAGTAATGGTTAATAAATTGTGTATCCTCCAAATTCCGATTACACATTTGTACAATTTAGCTTGTAACCATATATTTTAATTTATTAAACTAAATGGCAATAGTTTGTCAAATAAAATGGTCCTCAGATAGAGGAAAATAGTAAATTTAATAAATTTTAATCTGCAACCGCATCTTTTAGTTAACTAAAAAAGGACGAAACCGCATTAAAATTAAATAAAAGTTTGCTTTAAATAATTATTGAATCACGACAAACATTTATTTTCTGCGAAACTTTTAATTTATAAATGCAGTAAAACCAACCTAGCTAATCCATACTAATTGCGACTGTTGCCTATTCGAACAACGGAAAATTAGGATTATCCGAAATTTCGATTTAAATTGATGTTTCATATAAATGAATACGTATCCGACGTTATATTGTTTAAAGATGGAAACAAGTCCTGTTATTAGCTGATCATTTATCAAAGCTGTATCGCCAGTCTTATTCACGTGATGAACAAACTGCAAACAAACATGTGAGTCAGATTTTATGATGTTTTATCTCGATTCATATTCACGTGGATTATGAACCTCACACATTAGTCAGAACATTTTTGCAACACAATTATGTTTTATTTCCTCAGGTTAAAATACAAAGGTTTTTATTTGTAAATTTTGAGGAGTGATATCAGTTTGAATTATCCAGAATTTAGGAATACCGGAGTTCGGATTTGTAAAGTTCTACTATAATTCCATTTTAAACTGAACGTAAGTATGTGGAATTACACTGGAGCGCTAATTTCGCTCCAAATTATGCTACCTGTACCAAAATGACTGTCAGCAAATTAATTCATTCAAATGAAACAACAAAGTAATTTACTTTTAAGTTTCAACATAATAATCATGGTATGTGGGAATAAATGCTTTTTAAATGTTAATTGGTGTCCCCTTTCATTTTCCCACTTTCAAGTATTAACCTTTCTTTAAAACGCTTTAGCGATTTTTTGTTTTAGCTTAAGCTAGTCACGCTCCAGAAAATTACGTGAACAATTACGAAAGGAAAACAATCACACCCCTATGTCAATCATTAAACTTAATGTTTAAAATATAAATAGATCAAAAATAAGTACTTGTTACGAGATTTATTCTTCTATTTTTTTTTCTGTTAACGAAAATAAAAGGAAAAATAAACATAAGAAGTTTTTATGTTTGTTTATGTATACAGTTGTTTATTGTATTATTCATCGAAGAATAATGATATGATCTAAACGGAGAAAAAAATTCGTATAAAATTATCGTATTACATAGCAAGTATATCGTGTTATATATTGTATTATATTTCGTGAAAAAAACCTTAATTCCGGTTCTCAAAACTAAAATAAATGATATTTAAACCATTTATTTGGCGCATAATGCATAACGTGTATGGAAATATAGTAAAAAAATGACATACACGGAGGAAAAAAAAACAGGTTAAAGTACCGCACTGTATGGTAAAGAAATTTTTTGGTAACAAAAACACAATTTCGGTTAATAAAACCAAAATATATGGTATTTAAATCATTCATTTGGCAATTTTTCGTTCATATAGTAATTGCTTACTGAAAATTCTGGTTTTCAAAATTACAGCTCTTATTACCACATTTGTAGAAAAGAATACAAGACCGAAAAATGAATTTAACCGAATAAACGGCTTTTATACCGAGTTGTAATGTAACATATCATGATAAAATTACCAAATTTTACCACTTTTATGAAATTTTATCACATATTATAAAACTATATTTTATTATTAAATTTATCAAAACCATTACTAAGGCGCTTTGGCAAAAATCATTGATATTTATAGTCTTCCCATAGACCCTGAATCACGGTAAATTTACCATATTCTGGTAGTTTTGATAAATTTTATTACTGTGTGTTATTTCTAGGTATAATAGTTATACTTTCGGAAAAATCGGTTCAAAATTTATTTTTGATATCAGTACCCTCCACCATAAAATAGTGTAAACTTGCTGCATCCCTTATAACATGTTAAATTAAACCTTGTTTGCAAAAATAATAGGAAATTAACCTTTAGAATAATTCATGTTTGTTGACATGTGCAAAAGTTTAATATATTATTTACGGAAAATTTTTTTTATAAGCATTTGCATTACTTCTGGGAAAATGAGAAAGTATATATCAATTCTCAGTAAAATAGCTCAATATTGAATCATGACATCAGGACCTTATAACCATAAAATTTGGAAAATTTTCTGCAGTTAAATTAAACTGTGTTAAATTAAACTCTGGTAACCATACTAACGAAAATGAAGGTGAAAATAACCTTGAGAATTTTTTATATTTGTTGATGTTTACAACTGTTTATTATATTATTCATAGAAAAATAATAACATAAACATATGAGATATTTCTCCGATTTATTTGGAACAATGTCTAAACTTTCAAAAAAATTACTTTAATCTAACTACTTACACCACTGAAGATATTTTTCGTTAACGCTGTGGTCGGTGAAAGCCAGGAGCAAAATTCGTATCGACCAGTCATTGCTGGGATTCGAACCCGGGTCATCTCATTGGGAGGTGAGCGCTCTATTCCCCGAGCCACCAGGGCTCAAAAAAATTATTTGTCTGAATACACATCAAAGGACATTATCTTAAAAGTTTCATTTAAATTAAACAGATAGAGATTTTTGAATTGACATGCGAGTTAAGGTTAACCTATAAAAAACTTTAAATAGGGATTTTTTTAGGGAAACAAATATTATTCATACATTGCTAAAGATTTTAAAGCCCATCGAAGCACAATATCGTTTAAATTTGCTTCAATATATTTCAAGTAAGATACCTCCTCCAATTTTCATTACATTCAATTAAAAAATTTGTATGTAAATAAAAAAAAGTATAGTTGTTACTCGGAGAAGGGTTATTATTTCATAATTTTTGATAAATTAAATGTTTAATGCAAACTTTTGTAAAATATGCCAGTTTAATATTAACGCAAATAAAACTTGAAACATAACAAATAAATAACTGTAAATAGCATTACAATCAAAAACATTAACTTCTTTTAAAAAAAACTTCGTAATTGTTAGGATTTATAAAACACGAAGAAAAAACCCCAATGTGCCCCTGTTAAAATTTTATCAAATTAGCCTAATTTTATCAAATTAGATGAAAACTAAAAAATGCTGCACTGTTTTTATTTTAATTAAAAAAAGACGAGAAATAGTCTTTTCTCTTTTATATCATCCATAAACCCGTTGTTGCAAACTTTCATCTTTGATATTTAACTTTAATCTTTTTTTACATAATATGCTTTGACTTTCAAGACATTTAAATATATTTATAAGAGATTTAGCAATAAATTTAAAAATCATTCCAACGACTCTGAGAAAAAAAACCTAGCGCAAAGAACATTAAAGTTGGTAGCTATGAATATGCGCTGTATTTTCTCTATTTTTTCACACACTTTCAGTGAAGTGTAGGAAAAATATGTATACTGTCACGTTAGAAAAAATAAATTATTAAATATTTATAATTCAATTATTGCAATATTGAATTCGTATAAAACCTCTATTTGAAAGAAAATAGAACCTACAATATATTGGTGGTATTTGTTTAAGTTCCAAATTCAATGTTCCGTAAAAAATTGCTCAATAGAGGAAACGATTTATGACAATATGCATCACATGGTGGACATCATCATATGAGATTATGTAAATAAAGTGATAAGTTCACGTTTACAAAGAGTAATATAAGAAAAACGTAACTCGGAAGGGGGAAAAAACTGTCTTTTTGAGTCGTCGCTTTTTTTTAAATTTCAGTTCGTAATTCTTTGTTTCCGCGAGCTAAGTTGTTAAACTTTTTTAAAAAAAAATGCAACGTAAGGTGATATTTCATTTCTAATGCTCAGTGAACCGAATGAAAAGACGATAACGTAGATGTCGTAATATTGGGTCGAGGAACGATGTTTCAAAAACACTCATCATTGAATAAATTATAACATTATTATGAATACATTGTTGCGTTGCATATCTTTGCAGGAAAAACTGTACTAATTGAAAGGAAAACATTATAAAAAATGTTTTTGCAGGAAAAACTGTACTAATTGAAAAGAAAACATTATAAAAAATGTTTTCTCAGGAAAAACTGTACTAATTG